AAAAAACATCAAAACAACATACTGGAAAACAGTTATTCATCACTTGATTGCTTCAATACAACACTTGAGCACATATATGCGGGACTTTTAGTGGCTGTTTTGATCTCGCTCTCTCTCTTAACCGAGCAAATCTCGCTGTGGTAGCAGCTTTAAACTCGGTATGATCCAGGTTGATAGAGGGTGCCCAGTCTGGATCGCATTCCAGCATTTTGTAGGCTGGTTTTCCTACAAAACACAACAAACATTTGCCCGCAAAGTCACAGTAAACAAAGCAGCATAGCGCAACGAATTCAATTCAAATCAATATAAGACTTATTTGTAACCTACATCAACAATTATGTTATGATAAAATACATAATAACTACAACAGAAGACTTACCTTTGTGGAAATGCTTGGAGCAGACTAACATGTGAGCTGGAGTGTTCTGAAACGTTATATTTGGTCTTCGAATGGCTGCAATCCAGGCCATCCGTCGGCTCTTTGTTACTTCAGAAACACGGCTTGAACAATTTCTCTTCCACAACGGAATCCAATTAAATAAAGAAAATGAGTGACGCCAAGAAAAGAAGCAAAATCTGAAACCATTTAAATTTTACTGACAATGCAAAGTGTGTAGAGTCTGCAAGAAAAGGATATCATAGAGAGCACACAAACAACCTGCACAGGCACCTGAGAACTGTCCGCCCATCAGTGCAATGGGAAGATCACACACAGTCAGCTGAGTGTGATATTAATGGAGGTGCATTTTTTTTCTTTTGGTTTTGCATATTTTAATCTATATTTTATTGTGTTGTGGTTTGCAGTGTTTTGTGTTGTTTCACTTTAAATTTGTTTAAAAGGAAAAAGCTGAAAATTTAAAGAGTTAAAAGTTGAATTGTAAACAGTTTGTTTTTGTATTTTATAATTTATATAATATAATTATAATATTTTATAATTTTTTACATTTTATGTGGAGTGAATAAATAAAAGTATATGTGTATAATAAACATATATAAATAAAAACACGTTTTTTTTTACATTAGTAATTCATTTTGTGCATAATTTTATATTGTTGTTCATAATAAATTAATTATAGCAACAAAATAACCTCAACAACCGCTTGGGAGCCAAAAGAGTCGGCTCTCTAAAAAGAGCCAGAATTCCCACCACTAGTTTGTGCGCAGACTCACACAGCACTCCGCAGAGATCGCTCCCTGCAGCTAAACATCCAATCACTGTTAGTGTGCAAATGAGCCAGTGTCAGGTTTCTCAGAGGGCAGGGCAGAGCAAAACAAACAACTTGGATAGGGATGCATCTGTAAGGGAAGCAGGAGATTGTTGTTGTAGAGTGGATTGAAGAGAAAGGAGAGTGGAGCTGTTCAGCTGCAAACAGAGTTCAGTTCCTTGCAAAACAAACAAGCTTAAAACAAGAAAAAAGTTCAAATGTTCTGTTCTGAACCTTCTGTGCTCTACACATT